CGCACTTCGTTGCAACTGTTGTTCGAATTGTCCTTTATCTTCTAAACAAATATCGACGGCACAACCTTACAGAGTCATTTAAAAAGGAGGAGCTTAGGCCTTTGACTTGATAGCCTTGGACAAAAAGAAAAGCTCCTGCAAACATTAAAAAGATTCTTGAAAGGCGCGTGCTGCACCATGCGCAGCACCGGTCCGAAACGTGTTAATTCGTTGACCACACGGACTGGACATCACTGCGGAGCACGCACAGCGACGTAGAACGTTTGCCCCAGCATAAATTCGCTCGCCGTTGTAAAGTCGTGCTCTCGCGACAATTCAGCCACGCCGGTCATGGTCAGCGTTTTAGCAGTCCGTGAGGTCAACGAATCGACGATACTTCATTTGGTAAAATCACGGACTGCTTAAAAACTCTTTGAAGGAGGAGGGGGGGGGGGGGGGTATTGCGCGCTGATTTCGAATATCACATCCATTTCCATATCAGCCACTAGCTGGCTTACCCGGCTTCGCCGTATCCGGACCAAACTTGGCACACATACAATTCGGGCCCCGGCGGGTGTCACAGTCCACTTTTCGTTATCGATCGATGTCGATTTTACCGATTTTTATCGATTTTTTCGCAGAGTTCACCTACAGGGCTAGGAGTTGGCACAGGGGGAAGTGAGCATGGGGATTCCGAATACAATATTAGTTTTCAGAATTATCGGTTACTTTTATTGATTTTATCGATTTTTTGTAAATTTTGACATGCGAGGCTGGGATTTTGCACAGGGGGGTAATCGAGCATGCTGATTAGGAACACAATATTAGTTTTCAGGATCGTCCATTACTTTTATCGATTTTATCGATTTTTTTGTAAAGTTTGACCTGCGGGGCTGGGAGTTTGCACAGGGGGGTAATCGAGCATGCAGATTACGAATACAATATTAGTTTTTGGAATTATCCATTACTTCTATCGATTTTATCGATTTTGCAAAATTTGAGCTAGGGGGGGTGGAATTTGGCACAGGGGTGTAATCGAGCATGCTGATCACCCCCCTTGAGGATGATCAGCATGCTCGATTACCCCCCTGTGCCAACTCCCAGCCCCCTAGCTCAAACTTTGCAAAAAATCGATAAAATCGATAAAAGTAATCGATAATCCTGAAAACCAATATTGTATTCGGAATCCCCATGCTCGATTACCCCCTGTGCCAACTCCCAGCCCCGTAGGTGAACTCAGCAAAAAAATCGATAAAAATCGATAAAATCGATATCGATCGATGACGAAAAGTAGCCTATGACACCCGTCGGGGCCCGAAGTGTATGTGTGCCAAGTTTGGTCCGGATCGGTTCAGAAATGGAATTTTCTATTCGGAACATACGTACACACAGACAGACAGACAGACAGACAGACAGACATACAAACAGACATTCAGCTTTATATATAAGATGTGGTGGAGTGAGGTAGGATTACGGTGACTTGTTAAAATCACTTTCCCGTAACTTCGTCTACGGGAGAGGAGGTGGGGATTGGATATTTTGCACGCTTTATTATAATCATCTTGCGGTAGCGCCTTTTCTCGGGATGGGTGTACGGTAGATGAGTGAAAAACGAATTTACCCAGAACTTTTGAAGATTCATAGTGACACCCTTTCGCCTTTGATAATCGCCTATAAATGTGTATGGGACAAAGACAGCAATGCTAAATTCTCTTACTTTAAAAATTAGAGCAAATCATTGTGGAAACTGCAAAGTTGTTTTAGCTTAAGGAAGAAATCAAGAGGAACTCCCCCCCCCAATTCCCGCCCCCCTCCCCACTCCCTGTATTATCAACCTAGACATTGCTCCAGCGTTAACATGGAATTAAATACGGCATGGAGTGTAAACTGGTTAAAGAAAGTACAAAAACTGAGGCAAAAGTTACGTTTCATAATTCTGTGTCTAAGTATTAGGTTGTAAAGAAAGTTCCCGGGCACTTTTGGAAATTTCATTTTCCGACGCATTTTTTTGGCGTTCGGTTGAACTTTGACAAAAAGACTTTCATGCCCAGTAGAGGAAAGCACAAGCTTTTCAGAATCGCTTCTAATTTTTATGAACATAAAATCATGTTTGATCTGCACATCAAAAAAGAGTATCCTTCCAACCATAAAATTTCGCAATTTTTCTTTCTGCTGCCATTTTTCTGTGCATTTCATAGAGTTTCGTCCAAATCATAAGTGATCTGAATGAGGAGCCTTTCAACTTCTGACCCACAGCTACATTAGCGTTTTGGGATTTGCGCGAAGAAATTACAAGCCGACGAACTTGCCTCTTACCGCAGCTCTTTTCGCATCTGATGTAGCTTCTGCAGAAATCGCCTGGCCTATGTGATGAGTCCAAATGATATGCAAAGCATTACCACAACAATGCTCCCAGTGATCAAAGATTTGGTCCTTCCTGCGCAGAACTAGAAAACTTCAAAGTCACTCAAGAATGGTGCATTTTTGAAAGCAAAATATGGTCGATTTTCAACTTTCTGGGAAAGTTTTTTTTGCAGGTGGTCCTTCAAAAACATGTATGGTCCCCGCCCCAGGAAATCTCTATATAACTACAGCATCTATATAACTATAGCATGCTGGTGGATCGCAATGAGGCGCTGGAAAGCCAACAAGACAAACATTTGTTGTAGATGAAATTCTCTTTGCAAAGAAATTTGTAGCTCTGAGAAAGGAACAGTCTGCTTGAAGTTACAGCGATTTGGAAAAATTTTTCGCAAGTGCCCGAGGACTTTCTTTACGACCTAATAATAGAATCATTTGTGCTACTTGGGAAGGATCTTCGTACAAAAAAAAAGTTCGCGATGGTATTAAGCGAGCTTGTGAGATATCACAGGGTTTCGATGCTAATGGGAATATATGAATAAACAAACGCTTTTTCCGTGCTTGTTCTCATTCCTCTAACGAATCTGATGACACACAGCAGTTATGCAGCAGCTTTGACATCTGATTTTATGCCGCAACTGAATTCTTTCTCAAAAGCACTCTTTTTTTCTGACCTTTTAATAGTAGGATCTATGCCTCTGGCTCGAAAGCAGCCAGTTTTGCTTTGCTTGTATCGACAATTAAATTGTCATAGACAAGTTGTTCCCTCAGTTTCAACTGAACACTGACTTGATCAGTCTTTCTCAAATTGACAGGTTTACAAGCTTTTCGAGCCTGCGAGATGTTATCACTTTCTAGCAAGTTTCAGATGCCTGTAAAGGTTACTGCAGAACGAAGGCGCAGAAGCAGGATAAGTTGAACGGGCAAGAACTCAGCGCGCGCGTATCTTCACCGTTGTAAACCCTGCGCTTCGTGCGCGTCTACGGCGCGTTCGCGCCCAAAGATGTTGCGCCTTCGTCATGCAGTAGCCTATAAATGACAACCATATGTTTTCTGCAAAGCATGTAATGCGCCTATGGCGACGTGGAATGGAAAATCTGATCGGCTCAGATAAGTGAGAAAATACGGTAGTTCTTTTTTGGATCTGGGAATCTGCAAAAGCGTGGCCATTAGACTAGCGGAAGTAGAGATAGAATTTGATACCTTTTTATTATAGTATTTCTCATTTTTTAGTCGATGTTCTTCGACTAGCATTTTGATTTTACTTTTGGCTTTAACAAGATACTGAGCATTCTAAAGATTTACAAAGAGAAATAGACAAAGTTGAGATGGAACGCCTTTCAGCGTAAATGTCTTGTGGATATCCAATACGCTCAAACGCATCAGAGCTTCCACCTCTAAATACTGGTATCGACGATTAACAGTCAAAACTGACTAAGTTGTCTCAAACATCAGCGCTTTTCTTATCAGGATTTCTCGGATCACTAAGCACTAGTTCATGCCATCAGTCAAGTAGACGTGCGACAAACAATAAACATCAGCTTGTTAAAGGCAGCGTCCAGGCAAGTCTGGACACATGGGGATCGCACGTGGATAGTAATTTTGAAGCCCTAACCAAGCCACTGTCCAACCGGCGCTCAGGTAGTGCTTTAATGGTTGAGATATTCCCTTCGAAACTGGACCCCGCGATCGTTCCGCATGGATTCATGGCGCAAAGCGTGGATCCGACGCGAATTTGCCATGAATCCATGCGAACACGATCGCGGGGTCCAGCGAGGGGAATATCTCAGCTATATTAGAGCACTACCTGCGCTGCCGCTTGGGCAGTGCCTTGGTTGGGGCCCCAGGGGTACTTTCCTCGTAAAATCCCCATAGGTCCAGATCTGCCTGGACGCTGCCTTTAAGAAGATGTACAGTAAGTTTCTACCATTAAGGGGGGGGGGGGATCAGATTCGGGCACCCGCATCGCAATGATTCGCACTGTTTCGCAGCTACAGCACCGAATCGTGTTTAAAATCCATGTCTGCAATCTCCACTCTCTTTAGTCTTGGCTTGGCAAAGCGTTGTGCGCTCGCAAAAACTTCAACGGTGCGGATACGCTGCTCGTGAAATTTGTCGCCTACTTGGGTTGAAACAGACTCTAGATTGTAAGACAAACTACAATAGCGATTTCATATGTTTTGCATGTTCAAACTACCATTTTCGTGCCAACTCCTAGTTTTTAGCTGTGTGTAATCAAAGGCAGTGTCATCAAAACTTAGGCCTCGGATTTCCGCAAATTATCTTTGTATCCTTTCTCCTATGTACGGTGCAAACCCACAATTCCTCAAACCTCTTCTCGAAGGCTATGCAGAAACAACGCGAATAAAACTGTGCTCTGCTTCCGCCTCTGTTGCTATTCAGTAGCTTATTGTTAGCATAATCATTGAAATGGCATAAATCTCAATAAACGTGATAATACGCGGTTCTTTGAAAGATTATCATGGCGTGCCACTTTAAAGATGATCAATTCTAAGACTGTAAATCATCATAATTATCCGAATCATGCCCAATGAAGGACGTCCAAGTACAGTAGGTTCAATAGAAAGCTCTACAAATTCTTCACGATTCCTTGTTAAGCATCATGATTCACGTAACAAGTACTCGAATAAGCACAAGCAGCGTACTAACCTAACTCCATATGTTCACCAAGAAAAAAGAACAGGGTATTGCCATATTACACTGCAAAGATAGTAAAGCAAAAATCGGCTACTGATATCACTTTTTATGGAGTTACTGAAAACTAATAGTCTGCTTGTGAATAGCAAGATGTCAGCAACCAATGTTTCGGTTTCTAGGTTTGCAAGATCAGTAAGCATTCTTCTGGATTTTGATGAGGTGAGCAATATATCTTTTGGTTATTTCATCTTGGTCCTCATAGGAGCCAAGATTGGAAAATCGATGTGGTATGCCAAGACTGATGAACTCGTCGTCTTTATCGACAGATTCACTGCCATGCATTTTCTGAAACAAACAATTTTAGACAGTAAAAAAACTACTTACACTATGATCATACTGCTGTTAGTCCTCAATATGTAATGTCATGATTTTTTTAGGGTTAGCAAACTTTGCTGACAATCTGGGACGCTTACACAGTAATCGCAGCCATCTAATACTATCCACATCTCAAAGAACAAATCCTTCAAAAGTGAAGTGTCATTATTTCAGTGGTGTATGGTTATTTATCAATCAATTACCAACGAGTATTCTCGACCTGGATGACTTTATGCGTTATTTTTTCTTCTACAACGAAAATGAAGGTCATACAATGACCGCTACCAACTTTTTGTATTGCTCTAAATAATTTCGCGCATTTGAAAACTTCTTGTTTGTTTTTATCTTCACTTGAACCCTCAAGACTTCGGTTACTGGTGCTCAGTTTAATGATCAATTCGAAAAATGCATGAGAAGCTAACCTACGAGATCAAACTGAGTCGGGCAATCATGCGAGTATATCACCACAAAATTCTTCAAGAGAAATGAATTAGGAAGCAAAAGTCTCTTGACATATTTATCCATTACTGCAGATCAGAAGTTCTGCAATAATGGATTGAGATGCAAGAAAAATGCTGCGTTAACCATTGTGCACCTAAAAAGCTTAAGCGACCTACGACATGCTGCGTATGTAGGAGGACATACCTAATTCTCTGTGCTACTGGCAGGATGCTCTCTCGAGCGGCTCGAATCCTGTGTTTATGATTTCTATATCATCAACCAGTGACGAACTCTATATTCCATACTAGCTGGCTTACCCGGCTCCGCCGTATCCGGACCAAACTTGGCACGCATACACTTCGGGCCCCGGCGGGTGTCACAGTCCACTTTTCGTTATCGATCGATGTCGGTTTTACCGATTTTTATCGATTTTTTGCAGAGTTTACCTACAGGGCTAGGAGTTGGCACAGGGGGGGAAGTGAGCATGGGGATTCCGAATACAATATTAGTTTTCAGAATTATCGATTACTTTTATTGATTTTATCGATTTTTTGTAAATTTTGACATGCGAGGCTGGGATTTTGCACAGGGGGGTAATCGAGCATGCTGATTACGAACACAATAATAGTTTTCAGGATCGTCCATTACTTTTATCGATTTTATCGATTTTTTTGTAAAGTTTGACCTGCGGGGCTGGGAGTTTGCACGGGGGGTATTCGAGCATGCTGATTACGAACACAATATTAGTTTTCAGGATCGTCCATTACTTTTATCGATTTTATCGATTTTTTTGTAAAGTTTGACCTGCGGGGCTGGGAGTTTGCACAGGGGGGTAATCGAGCATGCAGATTACGTATACAATATTAGTTTTCAAGATCGTTCATTACTTTTATCGATTTTATCGCTTTTTTGAAAATTTGAGCTAGGGGGCTGGAATTTGGCACAGGGGTGTAATCGAGCATGCTGATCACCCCCCTTGGGGATGATCAGCATGCTCGATTACCCCCCCTGTGCCAACTCCCAGCCCCCTAGCTCAAACTTTGCAAAAAATCGATAAAATCGATAAAAGTAATCGATAATCCTGAAAACCAATATTGTATTCGGAATCCCCATGCTCGATTACCCCCCTGTGCCAACTCCCAGCCCCGTAGCTCAAACTTTGCAAAAAATCGATAAAATCAATAAAAGTAATCGATAATCCTGAAAACCAATAATGTATTCGGAATCCCCATGCTCGATTACCCCCCTGTGCCAACTCCCAGCCCCGTAGCTCAAACTTTGCAAAAAAATCGATAAAAGTAATCGATAATACTGAAAACCAATATTGTATTCGGAATCCCCATGCTCGATTACCCCCCTGTGCCAACTCCCAGCCCCGTAGGTGAACTCAGCAAAAAAATCGATAAAAATCGATAAAATCGATATCGATCGATGACGAAAAGTAGCCTATGACACCCGCCGGGGCCCGTAGTGTATGTGTGCCAAGTTTGGTCCGGATCGGCGCCCGTAGGCTAAAGAATGAGCTACTCTCTCTTGAGTATCTAATCACTTAAGAGTGAGTGGTACTCGTGCGCCAGGAGTGTAGCCGATCGGCGGCATCTCCTTTCAAATACCAACTCGTGTACATTGTAAAGTCGCCTGCACGAAATCGCCCGGGTTGTTGTAGGCTGAACGCACGCGAGCGTGTCTGCAACGCGGCTGCCGAATACGGGCGCAGGGCCCGGCACAGATGGTTTGGGGTCAAACTGGACTTCGTTTTTGAAGTTAGAAGCAAGGGGATATCGTTTTTATAAGGTCCTGGAGGAAGCGCCAAAAAAATGACGAACATGTCAGGTTTTATGAGTTGAACGTGTTCTTTCGCAAGCGAGCGAATTTTAAACGCAAGGCTCAAACAAACAAATGGCTTGTTTACATCGCACAAACAATCACATAGCTCCGAATCTGGGCTATGTGTATACAATATTACTCCAAACTTTGTTAAGTAGAAAGTTTCAAAAACTTATGTGTCCTAATATCGGTTCCCGAATTTGTTGGTTTCTAGACCAACACCAAAACCAACTGGGTTGGTTCGGAGCATAAATATCGGAAAGTTTACATACGTTTTGGACCTTTTTGATTTACACGATTAGAACGGTCAAAAGTCTATCGTATAGTGAAGAGAGCGAATGAAAACTTTGCCTCTCCCCTTTTTTTGAACCAAAAGTAGGTGTAATTCTATGCGTTGATATCGTCGTCTCCCCGGTGTACGTTGGGCGGAGCTTTTGCAGACATTTGAACATGTTGGTTAACTTGTAAACCCTCTCCTGCAAGGCATTGTTTTTTGTGATCTTTCGCGCTCCAACCACATGCGGTGTCCTTCGAACTATGTGGCGAAAAATGCATCGCCGGATTGTTGAGGCCACAGATTTGGTTGGCCTAGGAGGTTTTCGACATTCCGAGCGCTTAAATGGTACTATATCCAATGGCAGGACCTTTAATCGACTCGAAATGTTTTCTTTCTGCTTTCTTGCTATACCAGGTACTCAAAAGGCGCTTTTTTCGCTAATTATCGTTATTTTGGTAGAATAAGGGCTTTCTTACTGATTTTAAGGCCGAGAAGGACTTCGTAGATTTTTGCGAAGTCATAGGGGACTTCGTTTCCAAAAAAGCTTCAAACCAACGCGTGCCGGGTCCTGTACGGGCGCTATGATGACTCATGCGCGCGAATGCCAATGTTAGCCTGCAAGAGACACGCGCGCGGGTGCTCATTCCGGGCGGTTCCGTGCAGTCAATTATACCCTATACTCGATTCAGCCCCTCCTTCCTTCGTATATAAGGACCTCCGAATGTATTAGAGGTTCCCCGGTTCACACCGGAATACCTCGATATTCTCTGTCCAAATCTACGTCACGTGCGAATAAACCTTCCTACTCGTCTACCCTATCACTTGGTACATTCCAAATCCCGACTGCCCCGCTTGGTCTTGCACAGCATTCGCGAACGTGCCTTCTGACCACTTCCCCAAGGCTGATCAACGACTGAAGCTCGCCTTTAGGCGCTTCCCCACGTTCATGCGTAGGAAAGGATCAGAAGACATATTCGCGAACGCGGTGCAGTGCCCAAGCGAGGCGATCACGTGGGATCTGAGCCGCTGAGAAGAGGGTGCCGTCCTGTCGTCACGGGACGACCTGTAAGCCGTCCGCGCACAAGTGAGGTCAGTGGTGACAGGAACTCGCTTTCGAAACGCGTACGGAATCTGGAGGTCGCATTTTCCGAATGGACTCGGTGATTTGGGGGGAACACCGCTCCGATCCGCTGGCAGTGGGCTGGTGAGTGAGGCTGCAGCTGAGCTCGGGTTCTGCATCTATCTCACAAACGTGCTTTTTATTCACTTCTCTAGCCATGATAAGCGATCGAAGCTCGCCTTCCACCGCCACTCCCAATGCTAGAGGGTACCCGTATTTACGTCTTAGCGGTAAGCAAATTTCACATTCTGAAAATCAATTAAATTCGAATGCTTGTACTCCAGATGCATGCAATGTCAACCAATTACCTTACCTGCAACAGTGCCGTGAGCCAGTCGTCAGTCAAGATTTTGTTATCTCCATAATTGATGAAGCTGTGAGAAGATCCAATATAATATTTGTCCAGCTGTAAAAGAGTAGACTACTTCCTTTCAAAAGACTTGAATAATAAATAATAATGATTTAATGTAACTTTCTGCGCAAGCTGAAGTGCGCTTTTAGCACCTCTAGGCATAAGGCAACTGCTCAGGTTTATAGGCAACGTTCGGGCAAAACTAGGGCGCTTACAGTGTCCATACGAAATGAGAACAGGACTTTTGTAGAAAGTCCAGTAGAGACTTTTCCCTGGTTTTTGACTTTGTACTTTTGGTCAGTTCGAACGTTTCCGTCATCAGGCAGTGCTCTAGCGCGACGGCTTGCTCCAATGCAGATTTCGAAAGTGGTGTGCAAAGTGTTGAGACGAGCATCCAATTCTCACGCGCAATGCGATCGCACAGCCTCATTTGGCAATCAGTCCTTCACAAAAATCCCATTTGAAGGGTACGGGTCAGGAGTCACAATTTCTCGCGAAGCGACGCCGACGCGACGTCAAGCAGTATAAAACTAGGCTTTCGCCAGTACCCCTGTCGCAATGTTACTTATGGGATCGAGCTGTGTATCTGCCGCCACCCCCCCCCCCCCGCTCTACTGTGGCGCCGTGCCACTCACCGGAGAGTTATCGCGGCCGTCCGCGCTGCGCACGGGGAGCAGCGCTGCTGCGTCCGTTGAAGATAGTTCATGGCGCAGAGAAAACAGGCGGCGAGAGTGCACGGGAAAAGAGGAGTGACGCGCAGTACACACCTCGCGCACTCTCCGCACCCTGCGCGGACGCCCTATACTGTGAGGCACAAAATTTGGGCGCGGCGAACGACCACCGCGCGCGGTGCGACTCCTGACCCGGTGCCCATTTGAACATCCTGAAGCTTATTATGCAAAAAGGGCTGGTCTCGGACAAGGTCAGGCGGTTTATTTTGCGAAATGTGCCGAATATAGCTCTCGAGCACTTTCCATTACCAGATCCGTCCGCCCACGAACGCTTCGCTTACACGGCAACCGCATTCATCTTGGATCAGCCTTATTCGAACCTTCACGTGTCATCGGTATTATGCAAATGTAGATAAAACTAACCGTTGGGACAAATTCACGCTCCAGCCATTCGGCCAAGCTGGCAGGAATTTCGCAGTCAATCATGATAAGAGAGGCGATCCTCGATGTTTTGAACAGATCAATCATCAACTGTGGGGTACACGTTAAGGCATTTATGCCATGAAATATCATCCCATTGATGATCATTCGATTCTGATCCAGGCTATTGATCATATGCTTGAGCTCGTTAGTGCGGAACGTGACCTAAAAATTTGACAACAGGCGCACTGTAGTGACTGTAGGCATCCAGCAGCGCCCTTTAAAGGCAGCGTCCAGGCAGATCTGGACCTATGGGGCTTTTACGTGGAAAGTACTTTTGGGGCCCTAAATAAGGCACTGCCCTAGCGGCAGCTCAGGTAGTGCTCTGATGGCTGAGATATTCCCCTCGAAACTGGCCCCCGCGAACGTATTCGCATGGATTCATGGCAGTTTCGCGCCAGGATCCACGCTTTGCGCCATGAATCCATGCGAAACACGGTCGCGGGGTCCAGTTTTGAGGGGAATATCTCAGCCATTCCAGCACTATTTGAGCTGCCGCTTGGGCAGTGCCTTAGTTAGGGTCCCAAAAGTACTTTTCACGTAAAAGCCCCATAGGTCCAGATCTGCCTGGACGCTGCCTTTAATTCAAAGAGATCGGCGGCTGGAACCGCTCGCGCCCGCGACGCAGTCTGCGTCTCCCTCGCGAAGTGCTTTCTGATCATTCCCTAGCCTTCATCAGGTACAAGCTCCGCCTTCCAGCCGCCAATCCAATTGAATCAAGGAGTACTTATCATCCACATCCTTAGCAGTCATATCGTGTGAATTCGTAGGTAAACGCTTACTCTGTGAAAGAGCATCTGCTCGATGTAAGCATGTTTGTAAAAGACGTGATAATCAGAAAGTCCAAGAGGGTATGTTGCAACAAAACGTTTGCACCTGTAGAACCAGTTGTCCTATAATGGACAAATGAGAAAGATCGCATTTACAAGGGTACAGTCGCTCCATTTCATATGATCATCAGGGTCAAGCAAGGGGTGTGGCACACGATCGCTGGTTACGACCCCCCCCCCCCGCCCCCTGATTGCTGTCTCAATAAGACCCCCCCCCCCCGAACTATATACTTAAGATAGCATTACCAGAGTTGAGAAGGAGGTCAGGCACAAGTCTTTCAACCCCCCCCCCCATGAAAGCCCTCAAACGACTCCTTCTTCCTCCTTTCAACCTCTGCACCTCAAAGTGTGACATTCTGGAGGACACTATCTTTTTCTAGAGAGTTTTCAGATTTCTGAGAGCTGCACGCCCGATTTTCTGTGATTGCACTTTACAATCACACGTAATTTGACGGCTGATTTTGATCTGAATGGGCATATTGAAAGAGCCATAATTTTCTTATGGGTGGGGCGTTCGGCTCCAAATTTCCAATGTAGCAAGAAGAAGCTATGTGCTCAATACTCATACCAGCAATGGAGCGCTTTCTGGATTTTGAAGGCAAGTTAAGGGGGTGCGGCACACCCCCTTAAAAGCTGCGGCAGCCGCAGCTTTTAAGGGGGTGTGCCGCACCCCATTAACTATATCAAAAAAAAAACATTTTTAGCAGACAGTATTCATATGAATCGATAGCCTAAACCTTGTAGATTCCATAGGACTGTTTGGAGCCTGATTTGTCTTCTTAGCTCTAAGTAATATTTGGTGAAAGCACAGCGATCAAAAGCGAAAAATGGGAAAAACAAGATTTTGGTTGGCTTCTAATTCCACAGTTTGCAGGTCTTCTGAAGCGGGATTCCTGAGGTGGACAAAGGAGTAGTGCTTTGTCTTAAGTGCAAAAACGGATAGCTAATTCACCTTTGAAACAAAGTTAACCATGTTGGAATTTGACCATTTCATTTAGGTAGCCTAGTATCTTGAATCTTCAGAATTCGCTCACACTTTGTCTACAGGGGTTATTTGACATGCTAATTATGGATATGATACGAATAACATATTATCACTATTATCAGATTACCCAACCTACGACCCCCTCCCTTTTTGACTCCTCAATACGACCCCCCAGGTGTGGCGTGCCGCACCCTACGCTTGACCCTGATGATCATGTGTGTCATTGCACACATAGTTCACCTTTGGCGTCCCCATCCTGGATTCTGGGAGAAACAAGCTTTCAGGTAAGTGTTTCCAAGGTGTTCTTAGCATTTTCTCATCTTTTTAGTTACTAGTCACCTCAAATTGATGTAATCGATAACAATCGGTAAGTCTTTTGCGTTTTTGCGATTGCAAATCCAGGATGAGGACGCCAAAGTGGACTGTGTGTGCAATGGCACACATGATCATATGAAATGAAGCGACTGTATATACATTGTACATGTTAAACAATATCATATACTGGAGGAACGTACTTGGGAAATGATAACTCTTCTTAGTATTTCTTTACGACTGATGTCTTCACTACTACTAGTCCAAATTGCTTTGTTCTTATTGATCATCCTGTTCATTCTCCGAGAGACAAAGCGAATGTAATAGAAGCACCACGGTTCATACTAAAAGTCATGTTTGAATACAGGCCTCATTAATTGCAGTGTCGGGTGCACCAGCATTACTTTCGCGCAGGACTCTGCAACTTTTCCGCGAACATGCTCTGTAATCATATCCGCCTTTCTTACGCTCGCGGTGAAACAGGGCTCAGCAAAGGTGGCGCATTCACAGGCTGGATGTCGTTCTTTCAAAGAAAAGCAAAAAGGAACTCGTAATGTTCCCAAAGTTCGTTTTCAGAAATCTGATCAATGTTAGCAAACAAAAATCTAACCCGTAGTAAGTAGGCCCTTACTGTAACTCCGACGTCGTTTCACCAGCAACAGATAGATTAACACATTGCAAACCTGCCAAGTGCTCAGACGTGTGCACACGTTTTCAACTTGTTAAAACACAATCTTTATGCACAAATAAATTGAATGATAGTCATTCAGTCTGTTTACAACCGGTAGGTAATATTGAGTCACCAAATTTGGTGTGTACATCCGCGGCGACGATCCAAAGGAAAGTTTGAAAAATAATGAAAAAATTATGTGAATAAAAAGAGCTGTAAGTTTTCTAATTTAGGTTGCTCCTGCGCATCCTGGGAGCACCCCGAGCTTGCGCGGAACCTAGTCATAAATTTCTTCCTTCTTCACATAATTTTCCAAAATTTTTCACATAAGTGTACTCTTCAATTCAAATTCTACATATGAATACTTACCATAACTCAAATTTCTTCTCTTCTGTTTTGCTACGGCCTTTTAAATTATTTAAAACCGTTTAAGGCAGCGTCTAGGAAAATCGGGACCTAAGGGGATCGCCAGAAGATGATTTTAAGCTCCTAACTAAGACAATGCCCGAGCAACAACTCAGATGGTGCTGTCGCAGCTAAGATGCACTCAAGTCATTTCATATACCTAATTCCTATATTTCCTTGTTTCTCTCCTTTGAGATAACATTCTTCTTAAGGTGATGTACAAGCTCAGACAGTTCGAGCGTGTAGCGCGCGGGCGTTGAAACGGTGGCGCAACACCCACACAGACAACCGCAAAAGACTTCCGGGGGACAGCGCCTATCTCTGGCATTCCCGGGCACGTTCTTAACCATTGCTGCCACGTGGTACCGGGCGACGGGGCGTCTGCTCGTGGTGACGTCACATAAGCCCGACACGGACTTCCGAGGAATTTGCGAATTCACCGGGGATTTCTAGGCGTACAGCACCTCCGGAGTACAACTAGTATCCAGCCAAGTCGTTACGCTGATACTCAGCCTATGCATTTTCAAAAATAGGCTGCTCTCGCTATCCTCGCGCTTTTCCGCTCTCCGTTCTGGGTGTATGTCAAGATGAACGATAGCTGGTATCAGTGGCGCGCGGAGTCATGAACTGGCAATAACGTGTTCGCTCGAAGCTCCGCCCTACTGCAGCGGAGAGTTTCTCGGACGATACCGTCAAGTAAAAATAACTTTTGAAAGTGAGATATAAACTTGTTGCAAGCTGGGGTGAAGCTTGACTATTGGCAGAATCTTGTTTTGATTTTTTTGTTTCTTTTTTTTGGCAATCAAAGACCAGCTGATGTGTTGGTCGTGAAATTCGAGAGATTTGCTGATTTACCTATGAATGACCGAGTGACTCCTGGATATCCAGCTTTGAAGTTTGAAATCAATCTAGAACACCTCAGGCATGATTATCTGAGTGACCTCACATCTTACAAAAAAATTCGCCTATAATGCTTGCTTTGATTTCTCGCCGCAATGAAATCTGTTCTTAGCTATGACTGGGGTTTTGAAACTTACTTTTCTGATAAAAGAGATAGTGGTGTTGGTCATTTCAGCAATAATAATAGTATTTCTCGATAAGCTGACTTCTGTTTGAACCAAAATTGAGAGTGCACAACAAAGCATATTCAATTTGGTAACAAATGTGAATAGAGAAAAACACTTTTCCAAGCATTTTCGAAACGATTTCCTCATACCTGCAATGAAAAATCATTTTGAAGAAGCCTACTAGGAACAAATAATTGAATTACATTAGAAAGCTTGCGAACTAATTTTATAATGAAAAATGATCTGAAAACTGAATTTCAATACAATTGAAATTTTAAAATCTACTGTTACCCAAATTGCAACCAACTGAAGAAGCATGACCGAAGTATTAGAAAGTTTTCCAATAGCTGCAACGCATTCCTGGGCTAATTAACAAGGGGCGGAGCGATCAGCGCACCGCGTGCGGTACCCAGCTGGCGGCTGGCACATGCTATCGTTCATCTTGACCGCCACCCCTCCGTTCTTTCTTCTTTTTCATGTTCCTGGTCAGCCTTTTTGGTGTTTATGTTCTTTTAAGTTCCTTCTTTTCAGTTTCAGGTTCCGGTTTTTCGTGCGGATGTACTCGAACCGTCATTCTTGGTGTTCGGCTCTCGTTTTCGACTTGCTCAGATCGTTACTCCTCGCTCTTGCGTTCTTTTCCGCGCTTCCGTTTTGCCCATCGGCATTTATGGTGTTTATGTTAGTTTAAGCTCCTTCGCCTTGGGTTTTAGGTCCCAGGTTTTCGTGCCGATGCATTTTCAAACCATCGCTTTTGGTGTTCGGCTGGTTATTTATTGTAG